TATGCTAATGAAGTCCTGCACCTCTTTTTCGACAAAATGACCCCTGAGGATATGACTAGTCAAATAAACAATATAAGCATTTCAGCTGTAGTTGGGGGGGGGGACCCACTTTTATTTTATGTTTGCGCCTTGGTCTCCTGGGCCTGGGGAGGGAAGGCCTTGGTTTTGCTGAACAGAATGACAGTAAGCAGGCCGTAGTCTCCAAAACATTATAAGGATCTATTGCCGTGATCTGTTAGCTCCACTAAATTCTCTGCTTTAATTTATTTTTTAAAAGTATGCCCTTTTTGTTGTAGAGATGCATCTTATATTGCCACAACAAAAATTGCTAGAGCGGTTTTAAAAAAAGAATGCTGATTAATTAGGGGAGCTATTTGACTATAGTAATTGATTGGTGTAACGTAGTTCTGTAGCAACCCCAAATCTTCAGGAATTTCCAAACCCTAGTGGAAGCTTCCAAATATAGCCGTTCCCACCCACGCATTGTGCAGAAGCGCTTTGAATATGATTTCCAAACGATAGTATCAAAACTATTTCTGTAAAGATATCATCAAAGCGGGGAATAGCCAGGGAGTAGATTAGAAGAGGACTACGTTGTGTGGATGCTTAAAAACAAACTCTAAAACATTCCGATATGGATGCTAGCCCACAGCAAAACCTTCACATGGAAGCAGTTTTGGAAAAAGTTGTCGGGCTGGTTTTACAGAGTAAGATGTTAGGGCGATACCCTCATTTGGATTAGCTTCTATTCATGAAAGGGAAGTTCCAGAGGAACTGGTCGGCCCCTGTGTGAGACAGGATGCTGGACTAGATGGACCACTGATCTGATCCAGCAGGGCTCTTCTTATGTGAGAAGGTAAGAGCAGTTCAGCTGAGATAGTTTAGCCAACCTACTCATCTAGTGTGTCTTGAAAGATCTCAAAAGCCCCTGAATCCCAGAGCCAGGAGGAAAACCTCAGGGGAAGGCCTCGGCCTCTGTGCCCTGCTGTTGGCCCTCCAGAGGATCCGGTCAACCACTGTGTGAGACGGGATGCTGGACTAGACGGACCACCGTTCTGATCCATCAGGGCTCTTTGTATGTTCTTAAGCGGAAGACTTCCCTCTTTCGGTAATGGCCAACCGTAGCAATCTCTTACCTCTTGTGCAAACTCCCTGCAGTAGTTATCCTCCAAATACCTTCTGCTCTCAACAGGCTATGAGCTGCACGGCATCGAAAGAATACCGGACGGCCCCGCACTCGTCGTCTTTTACCATGGAGCGACTCCGATTGACTTCTTCTATTTCATGGCCACCGTCCTGATCAGGAAGAAGAGGATCTGCCACATCGTGGCCGACCACTTTGTCTTCTCGATTCCAGGTAAAATTCACTCACAGTGGGGTTTAGGGTGTCTGTCGATTGGTTAGGAGCATCCTCACTTGGACCTCTTAAAAAATGAGTATTCTGGGCGGGGATTTCTTTTGAGTAAAGCGTTGCGCACCACTCTGAGCTCGCTTTGCGGGGGAAGCAGTATAAAAGTCTAAATAATAACAATAATAACAATAACAATAATAATAATTGTTGTTGTTGTTGTTATTACTGTCTGGCAAGTTACTTTGCTGTTTGTCTGTTGCAGGACCGTTCTGCAGCTCTGCAAATAACGGAATACAAGTTCGTTCCGACTGGCTTCATTCGAGCAGGGACCTTGTTGAACAAAAAGGTGTCTTCTAAGATTCATTCATCATTTTTTTTTAATAAACATTTTATTTATTTTTTGCAACAACAAAGAACAACACAACCCCCCGCCCAACACAAAAACTCATTCATGCTATGGAAACAGCCCCACATGTTACCCCTCAATGACTTAACCCCTAACAAACACTTCATGTGCAAAGCAAAATTGGACCTACTAGCCAAAGCCTCTTTGCCTTGGTTTGAATTTCTCCAGCTGCAGAATCTTTTTAATACTCCAGCACTACAAAAGACTTGCAAGTGACCACATACTGAATTCGAAAAATTTCTATTATTACCAAATGATGTAAGATTCATTCATCATTGAGTATGATAGCAGAGATTTGTTTGTTTATTTATTACTTAGACTTTTACCCTGCCCTCCCCACCGAGGCCAATCGTAGCAATCTCTTTCCTCTTCATAACAATTCTCATCATTTGCCAAGTTGCAATGAAACATTCTAAAGGAACATTCTGAAGGAAGGACACCTTTTTGTTCAACCAGGTCCTTGTTCGGATGAAGCCGTTCGAAACGAACTTGTATTCCGAAAAACCTCGTCAACCAGCACCTCTTTTGGTCCTTCCCTCTTTTTTATATTATTGTAATTCACACATAGGAGCTGCGGTGGCTCAAGTGGTTAAGATGCTGAACTGCAGGCTGTGGAAGGTCGGTAGTTCAGCAGTTCGAGACCCAAGTCGCCGCATGACGGAGTGAGCTCCCATCTCTAGTTCCAGCTCCTGCCAACCTAGCAGTTCGAAAGCAAGAAATTGCAAGTAGATAAATAGGTACCACTTTGGTGGGAAGGTAACAGCGTTCCGCGCCTTGGTGTTTAGTCATGCCGGCCACATGACCACGGAAACGTCTTCGGATAGCACTGGCTCTTCGGCTTTGAAACAGAGATGAGCACCCCAACCCTAGAGTCGGACTCGACTGGCTTTCGAGCAAGGGAACCTTTACCTTTACCTTTAATTCACACATGTTTTGATATTTGATACTATAACTTTCTTTTCTATGATTTCCTGATCATTAACTGTGTATAGCGCATGTATATAGCTTTCTGTTGTCTATAGATTTGGATTATTGGAGCTGTTATTCTCTCATTGCACAACGCTCTGCAAATAACAGCAGGGGCACAGTTCTCAAGCAGTGGCTTCAGGGTTTCAAACCCGAATGTAAATCTGCTTTATCAGGGACTGCTTTCTGGGATAAAAAGTTTTCAGAAGCAGTGGGGGGGGGGGGGTGCACAGAAAGGCAGGAAGTCCTACTTTGCTGACGGAAATCAGCATTGAATCATAGAGTTGGAAGGGATCTCCAGGGTCATCTAGTCCAACCCCCTTGCACAATGCAGGGAATTCACAAATACTTCCCCACACACACCCCCAGTGACTGCCGTTCCACCCCCAGAAAATAACTGCAGAAAATTTGCTCCCTGACCCCAAAGTGGCAATCAGCATTTCCCTGGGCGTGTAAGAAAGGGCCATGAGGAGGAGGGGGAGGGGAGGAGATGGAGGAAGAGATGGAGATGGTTAGATTTATACCCCGCCCTTCACTCGGAGTCTCAGAGTGACTTACAAACTCCTTTCCCCTCCCCTCCCCACAACAGACACCCTGTGAGGTAGGTGGGGCTGAGAGAGCTCTTTCAAGGACTGCCCTTTCAAGGACAGCTCTTTTCAGAACTGTGGCTTGCCCAAGGTCATCCGGCAGCTGCAAGTGGAGGAGTGGGGAATCAAACCCGGTCCGCACACTTAACCACTACACCAAACTGAGGTAGCCTTCCCTGCCCTCCCGCTCATGATCTGCCCAAATTCACAGAACTTAGATTGGAACCAAGTCTTTTATGTCCGGGGTCCAAGCTACGCCTTTCCTTTGTGGTGCTGCAGTAGACTGGGTGGGTTAAGTTGCCAAGTCCACAAGTGATCAGCCTACATCCACCGTGCCCAGATGGTCTGGCCCTGGCTGCTGTCTCTCGTGAGTTGGTAGTTATTGGAAGCTGTCGATGACTTTGTGGGTATTCTGAGGGGTTAGATTGGAGCCAAGACTTTTATGTCCGGGGTCCAAGCTACGCCTTTCCTTTGTGGTGCTGCAGTAGACTGGGTGGGTTAAGCTGCCAAGTCCACAAGTGACCAGCCTACATCCACCGTGCCCAGATGGTCTGGCCCTGGCTGCTGTCTCTCGTGAGTTGGTAGTTATTGGAAGCTGTCGATGACTTTGTGGGTATTCTGAGGGGGAAGATTTTCATTAGGTCCAACTTGGCTGGGTGGGGAAGAGGGGAGAGGGTTATTGGACCATTAGAATGTGAGAAGAGCCATGCTGGATCAGGGCACTGGCCCATCAAGTCCAGGCTTCTGTTCACGCAGCAGCCAATCAGCGGACTCCTGGAACGGAAGCCCAGAAGCAGGCTGACTGCGACAGCATCGTCCCACCTGGGCTGCCCAGCAACTGATATAAAGAGGCAGTATGCCTTTGATACTGGAGGGAGGAGATATCTAACATCACTAGTAGCTAGGGTTGCCAAGTCACTTACTTGGCACAGCGGGGGAGAGTTGGTCCCTGCTCGGGACATTCTTGCGTGCCATGATGATGTCACCCAGAAGTGACTTCATCATCCCACGATGATGTCACCCGGAAGTGACTTTATCATGTTGGGCACGTTGTCAGCTGACGTTCTAGCAATCAGCCTGGAAACTCTGTGGTACCATAAAGTTTCCAGGCTGACTGCTAGAGTGTTGGTCGGTGACGTGCCCAACGTGATGACGTCACTTCCGGGTGAGGTCATCATGCCGGGCACGTCACCCCGACCCGGGTACTTTGGGGGCAGGGTTCCCCCCGCCGGCCTGATCCGGACCGGTGGGGTTGGGGCCCTTTGGGCGGGCAATCCCCCGCCCCCCTGGGGGACTTGGCAGCCCTACAAGTAGCTATTGATAGCCCTGTCTTGCCTGAATTTGTCCAGTCCCCTTTTAAAGGCTTCCAAGTTGGTGGCCATAACCACATCCTGTGGTAGTGAGTTCCACAATTTAACTATGCACCGTGTGAAGAAGTACTTCCTTTTGTCTGTCCCGAATCTCCCACCCTTCAGCATTAGTGGATGACTCCAGGTTTTAGTACCATGGGAGAACTTGTCTACTTTTGCCCCCACCATGCAAAATTTCGTAGACCTCCATAATGTCTCCCCTCACTTGCATGTTTTAGAAAACTAAACAGTCCATTGGGAGCCAGTTTGATGTAGTGGTTAAGAGCGGCGGACCCTATGAAGAAAGGTTAAAGCGCTTGGGGCTCTTTAGCTTGGAGAAACGACAGCTGAGGGGTGACATGATCGAGGTTTATAAGATTACGCGTGGGATAGAGCAGGTGGAGAAAGAAGTCCTTTTCCCCCTTTCTCACAATACAAGAACTCGTGGGCACTCAATAAAATTGTTGAGCGGTTGGGTCAGAACGGATAAAAGGAAGTCCTTCTTCACCCAAAGAGTGATTAACACATGGAAAAGGGATGCTCTGTCTTCTTAGTGCTTGGGGGGGGGGCAGCGGGAGGGCTTCTAGTGTTCTGGCCCCACTGCTGGACCTCTTGATGGCACCTGGTATTTTTGGCCACTGTGTGACACAGACTGTTGGACTAGATGGGCCATTGGACTGATCCAACATTGGCTTCTCTTATGTTCTTATGTTCTAATTTGGAGAACCAGGTTTGATTCCCCACTCCTCCTCATGCAGCAGCTGGTGTGACCTTGGGTCAGTCACAAGTTCTCTCAGAGCTGTTCTCTCACGGGCAGTCCTCGAAAGAGCTCTCTCAGCCCCACCTGCCTCACAGGGTGTCTGTTGTGGGGAGGGGAAGGGAAAGGAGATTGTAAGCCGCTCTGAGACTCTTGAGTGAAGGGCAGGGTATAAATCCAATCTTCTTCCTGTTCCTCCTTCTCTTCTTCCTCCTCTTCTCCTCCTTCTTCTTCCTAATCCTCATAGGCAGTTGCTCTAGCCCCCCTGATTATTTTGGTTGCTCTTTTCTGCCCCTTTTGAGTCTCTAAAGTATCCCTTTTCAGGCATGGTGACCAGATCGAGCAGCTGCCTTTTGGAAAATTAAACCCATCAAGGTTTGGGTCAGCAATCATACCTGCTGTTTCTGTCCACTGTTTATTCCAGAGTCGCTCCCAAAATTAGAAGCAGACCAGGGGTCCCCAATGTGGTGCCCGTGGGCGACCCGCTGACAACTTTCTTGGCATCAACCGAGTATTTTTAGAAAGTGGGTGGGGCTTTTGCCCTGGAAGGTTTCCAATTGGCCATCGTAGATTTGATTGGCTGTGAAGATTTTTTTGAAATGTGGCTTTGGCCGCATCTGCCACCCCTGCATAAGGGTCTTCCCTGTGTGACTGAAGGTAAGCTGCGGCAGCCATCTTGTGGCTGGCTCCGCCTCCTCTGGAAACCATTTTGTCACAGCCCTTTTCTGGCTGCGCCCACCTCACCATGTCATAATTCCAAAGGGGCCTGCAGGCTCGGAAAGGTTGGCGACCCCCTGCGATCGACCACAGCTTCTGTCCTATGTACGTGACCCTGTTTCTCACCACTTGCAGGCTTTAAACTCTTGCTCGATGTGTTCAGTGTGAAGCACGGATCGCAGGAGGAGTGTGTGAAAGCACTAAGGAACGGCGACTTGCTGGCCATCGCTCCGGGAGGCGTCCGAGAGGCCCTCTTCAGCAACGAAAACTACTCCATCATATGGGGGAACCGTAAAGGATTTGCTCAGGTGGCAATCGATGCCAAAGTGGTGAGTATTCTTGGAGCATGAATGGATCCTAACACGAGACAAATGTGGACAAACACGACCCAATCAGAGAGCAAGTATAAAGAAAACAGTTGTGAGTGTGTGACCCACAAATCAAGCAGTCAACAAGACTTGCAAAGAAAATGCTTTGTATTACAGTCTGAAGCACTACAGCACAATAAATGAATTCCTACAAATCATAAGAAAATCCTAGTGCAAAGGTACATCATCAACCGTCTCCGGATTATATAACAACGTTTCAAAATTGGATCTTCCTCAGGGAATGTTAGAGTAGTACAAAAGTTCTCTTGTTCATAAAGTGCTTTACAACAAGTCATGAAAGGTAATACATTCAGGACGCTGATCTCAGTAAATGTTCAGGCTCAAGTATGCCGCTAAGCTTCTAATGGATCCCAGGTGTCTTGTTGACCCCTTGATTTGTGGGTCCGACACTCACGACTGTTTTTTTTTATACTTGTTCTCCTAACACGAGAGTCACACACTTGGGTTGTGGTCAGTGTTCCCTCTAAGCTGAGTTAGTGTGAGCTGGCTCACAATTTTTTAGCCTCCTGCTCAAACATTTTGCTCAGGAAGGAGGGCTCCAGGGCAAACTAATGAATGCAGCAGCCAAATCGCTCGCTTACAACCAATGTTCCCTCTAAGGCAGTGATGGCGAACCTTTTAGAGACTGAGTGCCCAAACTGCGACCCAAAACCCACTTATTTATCGCAAAGTGCCAACACGGCAATTTAACCTGAATGCTGAGGTTTTACTTTAGAAAAAACAACTCACACATTAACTTAAGATGATCCAAACAAAGTAATGAAAGCAATCCCAAATGCTTTCATTTACTTAAAATTACTTGGCAGAGAATTCAACACTTTAATTATGGTCTGGGCTTGGTTGGGGCGATGGCACGTGTGCCCACAGAGAGGGCTCTGAGTGCCACCTCTGGCACCCGTGCCATAGGTTCGCCAGCACTGCTCTAAGCTATGGAATCTTATGAGGAAAAATTCTACTTTGTGATCTACTGGCATTAAAGTTGTGAGCGAGCGATTTGGCTACTGCATAAATTAGTTTGCTCTGGAGCCATCCTTCCTGAGTTAAGACAAAAATGTGTGAGCCAGAACCTAAAAAACTGAGCTATCTCACACTAACTCAGCTTAGAGGGAACACTGCTCACAACTTTAATGCCAGTAGCTCACAAAGTAGGATTTTTGCTCACATGACTGCACAGCTTGGAGGGAGCACGGGTTGTGGTGTGAGCTTCCTTCAGGTAACACGCAAGGGCTGAGGTCTTTCTAGGTGTGTGAGAGACCAGAAAGATGGGCGGGGTTGCCTGCCTCTGCTTCCTCTTCTCCATCCGGAGGGGGCACGGTCTTGCGGAGAGGCCATTACGGGTTCTTCTAGAGACCCTCTGGAAGCAGAAAGGAAATCAGGCACCGTTTGGAGAGACTGCAGTGCCTTTTGTGGTGTGTGTGTGTTGACTACCGTCAGGTCGCTTCCAACCTACAGTGACCCTATGAGTCAATGACCTCAAAAAGGTCCTGTCGTTGACAGCTTTGCTCGTGCAAACGAAGGGCCCTCGTGGCTTCCTTGACGGGGTCGATCCTTCTTGTGTTGGGTCTCCCTCTTTTCTGGCTGCCTTCCGCTTTTCCCAGCATGGTTTGCCTTTTCCGGCCATTCTTCTTTTCTCATAATGTGTCAGGGTCCCCGTCAATCAACTCATTCTCCACGGCGACTTTCAGTTTCGAGACGTTTATTAGAAGATATGGGAAGTGCAGGGAAGGAATCTCTTGTCAGGCCTGAGACCTGAAGGCGGGAAGTTTGGATATAGTTACCGTCACACATTCCATTCGCACACATCAGCCTACATAGACTAGGGCCTAGAACAGTGATGGCGAACCTTTTAGAGACCGAGTGCCCAAACTGCGACCCAAAACCCACTTATTTATCGCAAAGTGCCAACATGGCAATTGAACCTGAATACTGAAGTTTTATTTTAGAAAAAACAACTCATACATTAATTTATGATGATCCAAACAAAGTAAGGAAAGCCATCCCAAATGCTTTCATTTACTTAAAATTACTTGGCAGAGAATTCAACACTTTAATGATGGTCTGGGCCTGGCTGGGGTGATGGCACGCATGCCCACAGAGAGGGCTCTGAGTGCCACCTCTGGCACCCGTGCCATAGGTTCGCCACCACTGGGCTAGAACAATAGGACTCAATACTAGCTAATCAAAGTTTGTGTCTCTCAAGGATGTCTTCCCATGAGAAAGCATCTCCTGAGGGCTTCAGAGAAAGTTACGTCTGCAAGCTCGATACTCCTGTCGGGCGAGAGGCGATAACCGCACTCATACACAGGCAGGGGGAAACGGATACAGAGGGAAAGGAGAGGAAAACGGAATCAATACGGTTAGGGTACATGGCGGGGTTTATACATAATCTACCCGAGTCTGACATGATGTGACCAAAGTGCGATAGGCTCAGTTCAGTCACTTTTTGGCTTCCAGGGAGAGTTCAGGCTCAGTTTCATCTAGAGCCCACCGCTTTGTCCTTCTGGCACTATGCGATAGCCGTGAAGCTCTCCTCCAACACCACGTCTCAAATGAATCCTGCATTGAGCAGAGGGTTGGAGTAGATGGCCGGCGTGGCCCCTTCCAACTCTGTGACTCTGTGATCCTATAAATCTACTTTCTTCCTGTTAGCTTTCTTCATTGTCCAGCTTTCACGCCCCATACGTATATGATGTTTATAAGTTGTCTTTTAATGTATTTTAACTGTTAATGGAGCTGCGGTGGCTCAAGTGGTTCGAGACCCCAGTGTGCCGCATGACAGAGTGAGCTCCTGTCTCTAGTTCCAGCTCCTGCCAACCGAGCAGTTCGAAAGCAAGAAACTGCAAGTAGATAAATAGGTACCACTTCGGTGGGAAGGGAACAACGTTCCGTGCGCCTTGGTGTTTAGTCATGCCGGCCACATGACCACGGAAACGTCTTCGGACAGCGCTGGCTCTTCGGCTTTGAAACGGAGATGAGCACCGCAACCGTGGGATTAGAGCGGAGCGTCAAGAAGTGAGGACTACGGAGGAGTCGCACAAGTTTAAAGCTGGCGACGAAGAAGCTGAAATTGCTGAGGATTTTCTATTCCCCGGCTCCACCATCCACCGAAAGGGAGGCAGCAACCAAGGAATCAGACGGAGACGGAGACTGGGAAGGGCAGCCATGGAGGAGCTAGAGAAGATCCTTAAGGATGTGCCGCTGGCGACCAAGATGAATGCATGAACACATTAAGCTGCCTTGGACTGAATCAGACCCTGCGTCCATCAAGGTCAGTATTGTCTACTCAGACCGGCAGCCGAGCGGCTGCCGGTCTGAGTAGACAATACTGACCTTGATGGACGCAGGGTCTGATTCAGTCCAAGGCAGCTTAATGTGTTCATGCATTCATCTTGGTCGCCAGCGGCACATCCTTAAGGATCTTCTCTAGCTCCTCCATGGCTGCCCTTCCCAGTCTCCGTCTCCGTCTGATTCCTTGGTTGCTGCCTCCCTTTCGGTGGATGGTGGAGCCGGGGAATAGAAAATCCTCAGCAATTTCAGCTTCTTCGTCGCCAGCTTTAAACTTGTGCGACTCCTCCGTAGTCCTCACTTCTTGACGCTCCGCTCTAATCCCACTTTGGCCCTTTCTACGTTGACCTTCGTCAGTGGTCGTTTCAAGTCTTCTGCTAGTAATGTGGTATCGTCCGCGTCATTCCTAAGAAATATTTTATTACTTCAGTACGGCTGCCAACAATACAGCAAACAAATTATAGAGAGAAACAAAGCAACTAACGTTAATGAATAAAACAGTAATAAAGGTAAAGGTAAAGGTTTCCCTTGCTGGAAAGCCAGTCGAGACCGACTCTAGGGGGCAGTGCTCATCTCCCTTTCCAAGCCGAAGAGCCAGCGCTGTCAGAAGACGTTTCCGTGGTCATGTGGCCGGCATGACTAAACACAGAGGCGCATGGAATGCTGTTACCTTCCCACCGAAGCAGTACCTACTATTTATCTACTTGCAATTTCTTGCTTTTGAACTGCTAGGTTGGCAGGAGCTGGGGCCAGAGACGGGCGCTCACTGCGTTATACGGCACTAGGGTCTCGAACTGCCGAACTGCCACCTTCCGGTCTGCAGCTCAGTAATACATTACATCAAAACCATTACAAGAATTCTCAAGCAATACTTGACACTAAACATTAATACATCAAGATTAATATAACTAAATCACAATATTTCTAAATCTGTAGATTTCTAGTGTTGCGGTGTTCTCAAGAAAACAGTCAACCAGAGAGGAAAATCCTTACCGATAAACAGAAATATTAAATTACAAACTAAACAAAACATTATAGCACTTAAATAGCTGCACGGACGTTTAATGTTCTTTCCCACCAGTTTCACTCCACTTTCATCTAAGACTAATCCAGCTTTCCTTATGATCTATCCTGCATATAGATCAAAGAGACAGGGAGATGAAACACATCTTTGTCTGACACCTTGGCCAACTGGGAGGCCTGCTGTTTCTCCATATTCTGTTCCAACAGTAACTTCTTGCCCAGGTTGCTTATCAGAACAATCAGATGTTGTGGCACACCCATTTCTTTTAAAACCAGCCGTAACTTTTCATGATCCAGACAGTCAAAAGACTTAACTGTCATCTATGAAACACAAGCTGGCTTTCTTCTGAAATTCTCTCATACGCTTCAGTAACCGATTTAAATTTGCAATATGGTTTCCAGTGTCTCTTCCTTTTCTGAATCCAGCATGGACATCTGGCATTTCTCATTTCATACATGGTAACAGTGTTTGTTGTAAGATATATTTTTTTTGTATTAAGATTTTTTTATTCTTTTACATAGTAATACAATAGAAAGCAGAAAAATAAATAACACAAGCACTAATAACAGCAGGAGGGTATACCTTAGAGGGATATAAGAGTTGAGAACATAGTATTGACCAAATGACCCGT